TGTGTGCGCAAGACAAGGTCGTTGGAACACGCGATGCGCACCCCAGGAGCTATTCCGCAGAAGATGGTGGTGTCATCGATGTTTATAAATTCAGGTGCTGGGCGTATGCGGAGGAACCCAAGGTCAAAATTGAAAAGCGCAGGTGATTCAGAAAGGTACTAACCACCAACCGGACTGAAATTAAGAAAATTCCGTTTATCATAGGATTTGAAGGGGCGTGCTACGTCCAACGTCCACGTGCGCTAGTGGGTGGGGAGGCGGGAATAAGAAGGGGGTCGGAAGTCGCTGAGTTGGGGGGGGTGGCATCAAGGTTGGGTTGGTTGGCAGAGTCTTCGAACATGAGGCTGGCTGCAAAGGGCGGCCGCCGAGAGGAGGGCGGACCACCGGGTTATGTAGGCGGCCACTGCGGACGCTCGACGTGGTTGTGGGAGAGCTTGGGCCCGGATGGGGTTCGCGGTTTCAGCACTGAAGCGCCCGCGGTTTCTATTCCAAGGGCAACCAAACAGCATCGCCCCCAGCAAGTGAGTTCTGGGTGATTAGGTTTTTTCCTTGGTTCGCCTCGCATCGTGCAGGGCTGCTGCATAAGCCGCCTCTCCTCCTGGGCTGCCTTGCGGCTGAAAGTGGGGAGGCCAATGTGGTGCCGGTGCCGGGTGCTGGCGCTGGCGGTGCGCGTAGTGGAGGCACGCTACGCTGTACTGCGGCGCTGTCTCCCAGTGTGCAAAAGGTTCTGTGTGCTTTGGAGTTTTTGCCAACGCAGGGAGCCGTCCAAAAAAGTATTGCGCATGTTTTTGCTGTCTGGGGTTTGTGCTGGCCAAAATTTGGAGATAGACTTTGACAGATCCTACCTTTCGTGTATATGACGCATGATGCAGTGAATGCCGTGCCCGTTTTGATCATGCTCAAGGGGACGCCCGAACTTTAGAAGTGTGATTTTTCGACTGGCTGATTTGACGTTTTCGTTCTCAAAGCGGTGGTGGTTTTTCTGTTGTTTTGCGTGCTGCCGGGTGGCCAGTCATCCAGTCATCGTGCTGTAATCAATTTTTGCGGACTCCTTTTTCCACGCGAGGTCCAGTTGGGCGGCTATCAGCGCCGTCGTGAGGGAGTGTTGGAGTGGCGGGGCTTGGCGTGCTTTGTGTTGTGCCAGCAGCGTGGTGAAGGAAGCGGCCTCCTGGCTCTAGCGGTGGCTGCGGAGAAGCTCGGGGTAAGTCTGCTCTTTCCGGCGGCGACCATCCCGAACAGCTGCCCCGGCGAAGCTCCCCCCCTGTTGTTTGGATACCTCGTTTTGTGTGAGTGGGGATGCCAGGGTCGTGTCCGCTGCGAGTTGGTCCCCCCCCCACAAGGGCCAAACCACTTGCTATGACCTCTTATCCTGTGGTTGTGTTGGCGGTCGATGTGTTCGAGGTTGAGGTCGACCAGGCTGGTGTTTGCTGTTCCTCGTGCCCAAGCTCCCCTGCATACGCGGGCTGCTGCCCGTTCCAGTGCCCCCTCCCCCGCGCTCGAAAAAGTCCAGCTTGTGCACAAGCCGCGCGGTGGCCGCCAAGAGAGTCCAAAGCGCGATTGCACGGACCGGCAGAAGCGGGCTTTTTAAGGGCAATGGCAAGCGGAGGCGCCTCAAGAGAAGCAGACGGATGCTCGGCGGGGCGTGTGGCCCAGTGGGCGATTCAATCTTCAGCCGCTGGCAGACTTCAGCACCGAATGCTGTGTGGGTGGCTGCGGCTTCTGTGTATTGCCATTCCCTTCCCGGGGACGCTGCTGTCTTGGAAGTTGTGATGGTGTGGGGGTGGGGTCAGATTGCAACTGGTGGATGAGCCGTGCGAAAGCTGCCGGTGCTTGTTGCTGTAACACAGGGATGGCGTCGGCCCAGGCAACCCAATGGGCCGAAGGCGCCAGAACGGTGGCCGAAGCCAAGCTGAGCCCCGCTGGTTGAGAAGGAGGGGCGAGCGCTAGTGAAGTAAGTGGCTGGCATGGGGCTGCGTCCAAAGGGTCTGCGAGGCAGGCTGCCACTGCGGCGTTGTGTTTGGTGGAGAAGGTTGCTGTGATGCTGGGCAGGAGCATCCGGAGATGGTAGTGGCAACGTGGGAGGAGCAACCAGGCGGCTTGCAAGTCTTCGAGTTTTGGGAGGCGCTGAAGCAAGAGGTTGTGTTGGTCGGGTCAGTGCCGACCGGAGCTCCTAAAACCATGAGCCCTTGTTCATGCAGGGGTGTCGCGACGCTGCCGACCCAGACGTCCGGCCCCAACACCTGGATGTTGGGGGGGGGTTGGCCCGTTTGGTTCCAGACTCCCATTTTGCCAGCGTTGAGTTGGACGTGCGCTTGGTGGTAAAGGTCGTGTTGTAGAAGGTCGTACACTGTCGCATGCGGTGGGGCGGGACAACCACATATACATCGTCGAGGACAGCGAAATATGTTTTCCCCAAGGTGGAGGTGGGTGTGAACTGTTTGGAGAACTGCTCGTTTCCCAAGGGAAAAAAAGGGCTGGCATGAGGGGGTCTCCCTGTTCCCCGCCTTCGGCTGCTTAATTTCATGGGGGCTGGTCGTTGTGGTCGTGCCAGATGTGCGTAGTTTGGTGGCATAAAATTGTCAAACGAAAGAGAGCCAGGTGTTGGCCCCCTGCACCTCCGCGAGTGCTTGTAACATGCTTGCCATCAATGGAGAGGGCTGTGAGGGTGGTGGTTGCATGGACAACTGCCTCCGACCCGGCACGGGTGGATGACGCGTATTTGCTGTTGGAACGTGTGGGTGTGGTGTTCGGTTAAGCTGCGTGCCACCACTTGTCAGAGGAGGTCTCCGACAACAATGCCCTGGACCGGACCAGCTTTGACAGGGGGAGGTTGGCCTGTGGTGATGCCCCTTACGCGCCTTTAGCGAGTATGGTCGCTGATGGGCGGTTGGTGGGGCTGGCAGGCTGGAATTGGAGGAGGTGTTCGGGCACAATTGGGGCCTGTGCAGTGGGTGTGCTGTTGTCGGTCGTGCTGTTTTGCGCTGCTCGCTGCAGGGCCCGCCACTCCCCTGTTTGGAAGGCTGTGATCCGGGCATGCCACTTGATTTTTGGAAGTGTGCGCAGGCCGCCAGAATGCAGCCTTTTGAGGAAGGCTGGTGGGGACTGGAGCCCCAAGAGCCTGGTCTTCAGGGCCGTTTGCACATCCACATCGTCCACGGCCGATGGAATTGCTGGTTGTTGGCTGGAGTGGTGCTCGGGTTGGGTGGTGATGGTGTTGTGGGTTCATGAGAAATTTGCCGGCTTCGGGGGGGTGCCGGTGTCAGTGGAAGTTGTGCCGCTGGAACTGAGGTCGGGCGAACGTGGAGGGCTGGTCGTTGGCTGGGGCTGGTGGTGGGCAAGGCCCTGTTGAAGTTGTCGTCGGAAGCTGTCTCGTGAATGCCCCCCATTGTTGGGCCAAGGTGGCGGCCATTGATGCCAATGTTTCCCCCAAGAAGGTGTGCAACAGTGCCTTTTGGGCGGTTGCTGGGATGTAGCCGCTGAGTTGTTGGAACAAATTCGCAACCCATGGCAGGCGTACTAGGGTGCCAGGGGGGTTGGGAAGCCCCGACCTCGTGGAACCTGTTTGGAAAGGCCGTTTCGCTCTCTGCCAATGTTTGGTCTGTGTGGTGTGGGCGGCTAGCTGCTGCAAGGTGGACAACACGTGACGCAGTTGTTGCCAAGGGACTGGGCGTGCTTGCTGGAGCTGCTCTACCAGTCGCCACCAGGGGTGACCTGCTGTCCGGGTTTGTTGCTACGCTTCGGCGGCTTGGGGCGCGAGACGGTTGATGGGGGCAAGCAACAAGGGGACATAAAACCAACTGAAAGTGGGTTGGCAGCTGGAATGGGCATCTGGGGGGGGGCTCGTTGGGCCCAAGGCCGGATGGGCGGGTCAGACAGCCCCTTGTGGGGCCGCGTTGGCAGTGGCTAACGGGTCTATTGGCTGGGTGGGGCATCCGGCATGGGGATGGTTGCAAATCAATCTGCTGGTGCTGTGTCGCATGTCCACGTGCAAAGTGCGTGGGCCATGTTGCGTGCAGTGCGGCTGCGAATGTTTTGGAGCAATGGGTGATCGGGTCGAGGGACTGTGTTGCACCGGAAACGCACCCATTCGGGGTCTCAACGGTCGGTCTGGGGGTGGTTGGGGCCCACGCCATCTGGTTGTCGTTGAGCCCGCGCGAGTTCCACTCCTTGGTGCCTACATACATTGGACAAGGAAAAGCAAGAGGCGTTGTTCCAAAGGTGGCGGCACGTGGGGCAAGAGGGCCCGGTTGTTCGACGACCAGGTGGGCTGCTCAACCGGTATGAAAAATACTATTGCAATGAGGCCGGCGGAGGCGAGAAGTTGGACCAATGCCATGTCCAGATGGGGCATGCTTCTTCGTCTGCTGCGGCTGGGGGTGCTTGTTGGCAAGCGCGCCGCAAGTGAGGAGGGGTTGTCGGGGCGGGACTGGCTGTGGCCCTGCTACTAGCTGCTTCTGCTAGCTGTTTGCAGAAAGGTGTCAGCCGTGCTAGTGGGGACCCTCGGTGTGATGTCTTCGATGCCGTCGTTGCCCTGCCATGGCAAGGAGCAACCAAAGGGATGTGCGATCTGCTAGTCCCGTCGGTAATCGGGGGATCCGCGAGGACAACTGTTGGGAAGTGTGTTCCCCAAAAGGCTCGACCTGTTCAACCTCAGCTTTAACAACCAACACTATAGAACTGAGGTCCTATCTTCCTATCCCATGCGAATGGACTCAAAGCGTGCACTTCCTGGACACACTCCAATTTCCTCAGGTGAATGTCGCAAATACCGCACCCCACAATCAGGTGCAGATGCGTTTCAGTTTTGAACCAAAATGGCGACGTTCAAATTTCTTCTATGGGCAGTTGGCGAAGTCAACAAATTATTTATTTCTTAAAAGCTTCCTTGTTTTGCAGTGATGGACAACAAGCTTGCATTCATTCAAAAAAACAAAAAACATACCTCTCACGTTTCGTTAAGTTTGGTTCCAGGGTAGTGGAGGGTGGGTTTCCGCTTTTCCATGGATGGAATGAGCGATGCCCGTGGATCCGATGATGTGGAGGTAGATGACCCCCTGCGCCAGACGGCGGATGATAGATTCGGCGCCATGGCTACGAATGATTTCAACAGGATCTTTGCAGAAAATAGCATGATGAACATTGGCGCTGGTATTCCCAAGTTGCCTTGGGAGGAAGGCATTTTTGGACAGATATTTGGTGCGAATGATCCTACGGGATTACCAAGCTTGGATTCCTCACCAAAGCCTGCATTCCCAGTTCTCCTTCCAGAAGATGATGTCTTAGCCGACGATAGCGGTTACGTGGTCACGGCTTTCGAACGGGGAGCGCCCATTTTTGCAAAGCGTGTGAAGGCACTGTGCGAGCGTGACTGCCTTGAAGAGCAAGATCCCAAGTGGACGAAAGCACTTGCTAGCTGGCTGACCATCCTAGAAAGTTGCGCATTCGCTGCACGAATTGGAGACTATGTTCTGGAGAAATTGCAAGCTGGGGACCGTCGAAGGGGCCTCGGTCTATATCAGAGATGCATGTGGAGTGAGGTCACCGAGCACGGTCCTGAAGAGGGCAAAAGACTTGCAGATGTTCATCAGCTGGTGTCAGAAGACCAAACGCGTCTGGTGGCTTCTGGATGAAAGGGTTTTGTTGGCTTATCTTGGAGAGTGCGAGCTTGAAGGCAGAAGCAAGTTCATCGGTAAGAACCTTGTTCATGCACTCAAGTTCTTCAGGTACCTGATGGGGGCCAAGTTCGATGTCGAGCAAGTTTTGGGCCCGCTTCTTCATGGCCGTGTTAGTCGTGTGCTCTCAACGCGAGACCCAACCCATCAGGCAAGACCGCTGACGGTCAAAGAAGTTGCGAAGCTAGAGCGTTTGGTGCACAATGCCCCCAACATCTATGACAGGTACTTTGCCGGATGCATGCTCTTCGCGCTTTACTCCAGGGCGCGCTGATCGGATCTTTCTTCCACGCAAAGCTTCTTCTATGACGTCATGGAGACGAACACTGGCCCGTTTGGGTTTGTGGAAGGCCGAACCCGCATCCACAAGACCTCCAACTCAGTCGAGAAGAAAACGATGTATCTCCCTTTCGTCGCGCCCATCCAGGGGATCACTGAAAGGCATTGGGGCTTGGACTGGCGAGAGGTGCTTGAAGAGCTCGAGATCCTGGTATCAAAGGAACCCTTTGGAGCAGTGTGTAGAGCCCCAAATGCCGACGGAACTTTTACAAAGAGGCCTTTGTCAACTTCAGAAGCGTCAGACATGTTGAACGATTTCCTAGAGATCATGGGGACCGACGATGAGACGACCTCGCACAGCTTGAAGAGCACGACGCTTGTTTGGTGTGCTCGCTATGGCTTGGGAGACAAAGAGAGGGCTATGCTTGGGCACCATGCGATCAAAGAGAATTCGATGGCCTGCTACTCCAGAGATCTTTTGGCAGGACCGAGGCGACTTGTGGAGTGACCAACCTGGGGCCCCTCGCTTTCGCATGTGGACAACCAGGGACTCCAGCAACAGAGGACAACATTCGACAGCTGGTCCTCGACGCTGTGCCAGGCCGAGCAATGACAGTCGGGGACATTGCCGTCCTTCGATCAAAGCTGCCGGCGGCAGAAAGGATGTCCAGAATTGCCATACAGAGAACAAGGCTCGCTGGGCTCACATTGGAGGGTCCACTTGAAGTGGCATACCAGGTCTACGACGTCATCAGTGGCATGGTGCAAGCAGGCAGCTTCCGATACCTGGCACCAAACAAGTGCATCACTAGGATGCAAGAGATCACCATGCAGAAGCCTCCCAAAGAGCTAAAGCTCGATTCAACAGCCCAGCGCATACTCGTTAAAGATGTCCAAGGAGATCAACTATGTCCCGTGGCAACTGAGCTGGACGTCTTAGAGGCAATGACACGAAGGAGTTTGGCCTTCGACCTGGTTGGGCTGATTGACTTTGAGACCTTTCAAAAATGGAACCAGCATCTGTTCCAGATCTTGACCGGGCTTCAAGCAGCCGAACGTGACTCAATTGCTAAGGGCAGACCGGAAGGCATTCGTCCGGATGCAGGAGCTTTCCCGGGACGGCATCAAACCACAGGCAGATGGTACACGACCATTGGATGCTATCGTCCAGGGCCTGCCGCAAGATCACACCGTGATGTACTACATGTTGCCAACCCAAGCAGCAGCGCCTCAAACAAAGGCCAAACCGGAGAAGCCACAGCCGAAATCCCAAGAATTGGGGCAGCAATTGGCAGAGCCAGTCCAAAACCAACTACAAAGCCTCAGACAAGGTGTGGAAGAAGGGCAAAGACCAAGGGAGGCCACATGTACCCTTCCGGAGGGAAGTTGCCGATCGCGCTGAAGGGGTGTGCATCGTGTTTGCCAGATGGCTCTCGCCTATGCTTCGCCTACAACATCGATGGGTGCAACAAAGCTCAAGCAGGTGAGACCTGTGAGCGTGGCTACCACCTATGCGCGACCAAGGGCTGTGGGGAGAAGCGCCCCCACCATTCATGAGAGGGGGAGGCGCCCCCTCCTCCGATGCCCCTGATGGGGCCAGAATTCAGCGCAAGCCTTCCGTCATCGACGAAGCTCATGGCGGCAAGCGCAAGCAGACGTCCTTTACTCCTTCTGCTTCGCAACCAATTCTCCAAGCACCTCGAGATGATGTGCCATTGAGCGAGGTCGCGCCGCCTACACGCGACACCACCACACCAGGGGACGCCGCCGCTCCATTCTGCATAGAGTTTTGCTCAGGGACAGAGGGCTTAGCTGCGCAAACTGGGGACGAGGGCATCATTTGGAGTAGACAGACTGGTCAAACCGACTTGCAAAGCTCCCGTTGTCAAAGTCGACGTCGGAACAGACGAACCTAGCACGCTCCTGGATATCCACCGGCCTTTGCAAGTACTGCCACTTCGGGCTTCCTTGCGGAACCAGTTCAAGAGCACGCAAAATTCCCATTCCAGGAGGCCCGTGTCCTTTACGATCAGATGAGTACCCAGACGGGCTGCCTAACCCCCGCCCAAAAGATCAAGAAAGGGTCAACCTGGCCAACCTTGTCTACGCCTCTGCGTGCAAGTTGATTGATCTTGTTGTGCATGGAGCTTGGTGTTCATTGGTCCGTTGAGCAACCATCAAGAAGTCTCTTCTGGCAGACCTCCTTCTGGAAGTCAGTTTTGGCATGTTCGGAGGTAAGCGACCCAAGAGCACCACGCTTGCAACCGATATCAGTGGCTTGCAAGAGTTGGCATGCGAGTGCGACAATCAGCATGCACACCTGCCCCAGGAGAACCCCTCATGGCTTCGCTACAGCAGAGGAAGTTGAGTACCCCTTGATCTCTGCAAACAGTGGGCAAGTTTGATCCACTCAGCCGTCCTCAAGAACTTCTTGGGACCAACCTCAGTGCTGCCTTCAAATCCTGACAAGAAGGCCAGAGCCACCGCCAACAAACAAACCAAGAAATCCCTGGCATTCATGCCAGAATGGAGCCATGTCCAGACCTGTCTCTCAACAAAGCAACCTCCATTTGTCGTTGGCAACAAGTTGAAAACCACGTGGCAGCATGCAGATACCCATGTCCCTGCAGCAGCCCACATCCTGCGGGTGACCAAGAAAATGATTGCCGAGAAGGGGGAGGAGAAGCAATCATGGGAAATCGCCTTTGGGGCCCCTTGGACTGCAGAGACCTTCATCCAAGAAGCAACGAACAGGGGGCATCCAGCAAGTCTCTTCGAAGGGTTAGCGCCCATGGTTTTGGATGCGATACACAACAACTCAACCAGAGATTTTGCAGCGATTGCGCAAAACAGAGCCTCGTTCCTCAAGAAGTGGACTACGAGAGCGGCCCAATTGACCAAAAGAGGAGGAAGAGCTGCACTCCAGCATATGCAAGCACAGGAGGCTCATCATGAGGGGGAAAAGAATCCTTGTGCTCAAAGAGATGCTGGCCGAGCTGCAGTACCCTGATCTGACTGCTGCTGACGATATTCTCAACGGCTTTGATTTGGTTGGCACAGCTGGAGCAGAAGGCGTTCTCCGCGCCGATTTCCAACCAGCTACCTTGACTGTACAGGACCTAGAAGAACAAGCCAACAAAAGCAATAAGGCCATTATGAACTCCTGCAAGTCAAGCGGCTCACCGTTGGTTGATGCGGAGCTGTGGCAAAAGACGCTGGAGGAGGAGGACAAGGGATGGCCGCAAAGCCTGGACTGCGTGCCCGCGGATGGTGGTAGGGTCTCGAGAAGATTTGCAGTCGTACAATCCGAGAAGGTGAGGCGCATAGACAACTACAGCGAGTCCCAGATCAACAGCGCTGTCACCATCACGAACAAGCGATAGCAGCTATGACATGCGAGTTTATGAAAGCCCTCAGATCCAAGCCCAAGTGCTCCACCTTGGTAGGGAGAAGCTTTGACTTGAAAAGCGCCTCAGACAGCTGGCAGTTTCGGACAGTTCCTTGAAGTGGGCAAGGCTAGCAGTATACTTCCCTGAAGAGAAGGCGACCAAGTGCTTCCAGCAGTACAGCCTCCCCTTTCAGGCGAAGAGCAGCGTGGTTGCCTTCCTCAGATGCGCTCGAAGGCTGCAGTGGATATGCCTGAAGCTAGACTTGGTGACTTCGTGCTACTTCGATGACTTCATATGTTTGTCCACCCCAGCCTTGAGCAGAAGCAGTGAGCTGACTTTTGAAACTCTGCTCGACCTGCTAGGCGAAAAGTCGTCGGCGATGGGAGCTAGCATCTCAGCCCTGTCATTGTGGACCTGGGAAAGTCGTCTGAAGGCGTTGTCCAGGTCCAGAATACCGAGAAGAGAAAGAAAGATGTTTGTGCGCAGATTGCCAAATGTTGAGATGAGGGCGAGCTTACCAGTCATGGTGCTGCATCCCTGAAGGGGAGATTGGGCTTTGCTGAGGGGCAGTTGTTCGGACGAGCGACGAGAAGACTCATCAACGAACTTGGACAGCGTGCACTCCGCCCCCCAAAGAACAACAAGATCTCAGAACCGACAAGGCGAGCTTTGGAGATGGTGGCGGATCAAGTGCTCACCGCTGCACCACGAATGGCTGACTCAGACACAAGCGAGGTGTACTACATCTTCACCGATGCTAGCTTCAACAGTGAAACCAAGAGCGGAGGAATCCGAGGTGTTCTAGTCAACGGCAACGCTACTGTTGAGCAGTGGTTCGGAGACTCGGTCACCAAAGATTTCTGTGAGTCGTTCATGGCTGAGGAGCAGAAGCAGGCAATCGGCAAGTTAGAGTCCTTTGCAGTGTTGGTGGCGCTTCACCTTTGGGGAAGAATGCTGGCCTGCAAACACGTTGCGTGGTATGCTAGAGTTCCAACAGAATGCAACTTGGCCGACTTTCCTTCTAGTCGACCCCGCATGAAATGCTGCCCGAGGCCTTGAGGGCTAGGCTTCCAAGCTTCGAAGACATGTGGTTAGATAAGAGCGGTCTTTGAGAAGGCCCAAAGAAGGGGGAGGCCAGGAGGGCCTTCAGATAAGACCTTGCTATCCCCCGTTCGAAAAGAAGCTGCTGAGCTTTTCTTTTGTGCGCTGATTTGAGTTGACTGTCATGTTTGTAATGAATGGTGCGAGAAAGAAATAATATGGGCAGTTGGCGAAGTCAACAAACTATTTATTTCTTAAGAGCTTCCTTGTTTTGCAGTGATGGAAAACAAGCTTGCATTCATTCAAACATACCTCTCACGTTTCGTTAAGGTTGGTTCCAGGGTAGTGGAGGGTGGGTTTCCGCTTTTCTTTGTCTGGCAAAATTGGCCCGCCCACCACCCATGCAGCAACCTGACTTGGTGCAATTTCAAGCAGACCTCTACCGATACAGAATGGCAATTCAACTGGGATCCGATGCCCTAGCAGGCCTGATTGCTATGGACGCCATGATCGAGCACTTCGAAGACATGGGGTTTGCCAATACCGCCCATATTATTTGATTCGACAAGCGACCGAAACCCTGAACAATTGGGTTCAACACCAATGGCGTTGGTAACCAGCGCGCTACCATGTACCATACAAAGCCCAGCCCTTCCGACCGGCCAGGAGGGCCTTCAGATAAGACCTTGCTATCCAAAGAAATAAAGTGATAGTATTGGGTCAATATGAGTAATTCAGGGCGTGACGCACATCGAGCACACTGAAGTGACTGGGAAATGCATGGCCTCGTCATGGGCTCGGAAATGTCGGTGGGCCCACCTCTGCTACCTGGAAAACCCGCTTTATGGCCACAGGAGGACCAAGCTAGAGGAGAAACTCCAGTCGTTTGGAGCACCGGCCGGCCAGGCAGCCAGCAAATCCGAAGTTTGTTAACCTGCAGTGTAGTGTTTACGGGTTGCGTTAGCCTCTTTAGAAAAACTGAGAGGGCCTTTGATCTAGGACATGATTGTGGGGTTCTCCTTGGCCAGTACACAGTGCACAAGCGATTGCGTGGCCACAATGTGTTTAAACACGACGATGTGACAATGTGCGAAATTTCGGGCCTAAACCTTTGGCATAGGAGACCTAAGTTCCAGCCCAGAATCCAATATTTATGCAGGTATATACTACGGTACTACTACGGTACTACTACTACTACTCCTCCTTCTCCTCCGCCTGCGCACTACTACTACTACTACTACCACTCCTACTACCACTACTACTACCACTACTGCTACTCCTACCACTACTACTACCGCTACTACTACTACTACTACGACGACTACTACTACCACTACCACGACTACTACTACTGCTACTACTACTGCTACTACTAGTACTGCTGCTACTACCACTACTGCCACTACTACTACGACTACTACGGTACCAAAACTACCACGACGACGACGACTACTACTACTACTACCACTACTACTACTACCACCACTACTAC